GGAAGAGGAAAGGGAGGCCCTGGGCTCTGGGAAGAGGAAAGGGAGGCACTGGGCTCTGGGAAGAGGAAAGGGAGGCCCTGGGCTCAGGCGCCGTTCTGGCCTGGGTGCGGCTGCAGGAGGCTGGAGCTGGAGCTTCGTCGGAGGCTGCGGCGATCTGGTCTCCAGCAGGGCGGTGCCTCCTCTGCGCCCTCCCCTCCTCCTTCCTCTGTGGGGTTGGCACCCAGGGCCCATCTGCTCAGCACCCCAGGCCTCCTTCAGAATCGCCACTAACTTATGTCACCTTCTGACACAGGATGGTGCTAGGCTGTGCTGACCGGCCTCCTACTTCAGGCCCCTACTGCTGGCAGGACAGTGCTGCGCCACCCGGCCTGGCTTGGGTGAGGAGGCTCTGACGTCTTTCTTCACACAGAAGTCTCCAGGTTTGTGCGTCTCCTTCTGCTGCTAGGCTTCGCGTGGGGGGGGGGGGACTCCTTTGCGGATTTTGAGATCCTTCCTTTCAGACCCCCACCATCCGACACCCTAGGACCTGACAGCCCCGAACTTCCCAACGCCTGTCTCTCTAGTCTGCCCCCGCCCCACCGCTCTGAGAGATGAACAGGACACCCCCTTCACCCCCAGGTTGGCGGGGGCTAGGGATGATTCCGAGAGAAATGGGAGACACAAGGCCAAGCCAATGATGGAATCTCGCAGTAAGAAACTCTGAAGTTAGCAACAGTTGGGAAAATAGTTCTTCTGCCTTACGGCAGCCGCGTAAACCAAGGAGGGTTCTTTGCACGACGCTGTTATGCATCTAGTACCACACTGCATGTCAACTTAGGAGCGTTAAGATGCTTGTCTACCCCGTCGGAAGAGCCAGGGCTAAGCCGGACGCTGGTCTCCTCGGTGGTGCAGGCCCGGGCCATGCTGGGCTGGTCAGAGTAGCTGTGTGCTCTTCCCCAGTGCTGTCAGCTGGCATCCTTTTAGATTTGTTTTTAAACTCTCTCTCTCTCTCTCTCTCTCTGTGTGTGTGTGTGTGTGTGTGTGGTGCATATGTAGAGGTCAGAGGTCAATGTTGGACATCTTCTGTCCACTCTCCACTTTATTTTTCCGAATGGGGCACTCCTTGAATCTGGAAGTGACCGGCCAGCAAGTGTTAGAAATCCCCAGTCCTGTCTTGCTGGCCCGTCTCCGCTCCCCCCAGACCAGCTCTGAGGATGGATGCTGCCACACCTGGCTTTTCTGTGGATTCCAGGGACCTGAGCTTGGAGCTCACGGCTGTATAGGAAGAGCTCTACCCACTGAGGCAGCTGGCCAGATGCCCTCCTGCTCCTCTGTCCATTTCCTCCCTGTCACAGTCCCTGTGTTTTACACATCAGCCATTATGAATACAGAACTCTGTGTGTGTGTGTGTGTGTGTGTGTGTGTGTGTGTGTGTGTGTGTGGCAGTGGAGAGGACAGGGCCAGTCCAGGAAGGTCAGGGCTGTTTTGTTCTCCAGCAAAGAGCAGAAGAGGCCTCCGCTCCACCCTGGCGAAGCCCTGTGGAGACAAGTGAAAACAGTGGGAAAAACGTCTCCGTGGAGCTGTTTACGTAACTCAGATCCAGCCGGCAGCGGCAGCGCTGAGCTCCTCCCGGAAGCCAGGCCGAGGGCGGCTCCCTCATGAGGTGGAGAGGAGGTTGCTCCAAACAACCACCTAACCCTTGGACACAGCACTGCTCCCCAGCAGGACGCCCTGACTGTGCTGCCCTCTGGGTGAGGGCATGATGGGTCCTCACCTTCTCCAGCAGGGGAGGGGGAGGAGTGAGCAGGACAGAACTAAAACCCTATCCTTCCTCAGGAGGGAGGTGTGCTATGCCGGCCCTGGAAGCCAGTGGGGGGAGCCAGAGCGTGGTGCCTGCTCTCTCAGAAGCCCAGCAATTTCAGCCTCGGGCGAGGAGGCAGGGCCTTGCCTTCCGGAAGCATCAGGCGGTTATCGAGGGGTCTGTGTGGAAAATGCATAAGCCGGGCCTGGTGACCGAGGCAGCAGGAGCCAGAAGTTCAAAGACCCGGCTGGAGAGGCTGCTCAAGTGAAGGCTTGCAAAGCAAGCAGAGGGCCCGAGTTCAGTACCTGCAGTGAGCCCACACATGGGGATGGGGGTGGGGGGAGAGGGAAGCCAGCAACGGTGCTGCATGCGACCTCAGCAGCAGGACACGGAGGCCGGAAGACCCCTGTCGCCTAGAAAGCCCAGCCTCCTTATGGTTTCAGGCCACTGAGAGGCTTGGCTTCAAAAACCAAGCTAGGCAGCTCTAGAAAACGTCTGTGTCTTCCGGCCGCCATGTGCATGTTCCCACATGTGCACGCAGACCTGTACACACACACACACACACACACACACACACACACACACACACACACA